GATAGATAGATAGATAGATAGATAGATAGATAGATAGATAGATAGATGTTGGTCCTAAAGGGTTAAAGGTTTTTATAGGACTCTCCCTTTATGAGCCATGGTAATGAGCGACCTTTGACCTTTGACCTGCTCAGGGCCACCTGGAGTGGAACGAATCACAGCAGGTCATGTGATCGGCTCCGACCAATCAGGAGCGAGCAGGCAGAGTCTCAAACTCCTGATATGAACACTAATGTTCGTTTAACCCTGAACCTCTACCCAGTCAAAATACACTATCAAAAACAACTTTAAATAAAGGCCATCACACACAAAAATACAAGAAAAAACTAAATTCATCTACAAAAATACACAGAAAATAAGCCCAAAGTTGCACAAAATATACTAGAAAATGTACTATAAATCCACCAAAAAGACAAAAAATTACTTGAAAAAAGGCCATCATACACAAAAACACCACAAACAAAACTCAATTCATCTACAAAAAGACACAAAACAACCAAAAATACACAGAAAATATGCCCAAAGTTGCATAAAATATACTATAAATCCAACAAAAAGACAAAAAACAACTTGGAAAAAAAGGCCATCACACATTAAAATACCACAAAAAAACTAAATTAATCTACTGAAAGACACAAAACCACCGAAAATACACAGAAAATAAGCCAAGAGTTTCACAAAATATACTATAAATGCACCAAAAAGACAAAAAACAACTTTAAATAAAAGCCATCATCCACAAAAACACCAGAAAAAACTAAATTAATATACAAAAAGACACTAAACCACTAAAAATACACAGAAAATAACCACCAAGTTGCGTAAAATAAACTACAAATCACTCAAAATGACGAAAAACATATTTATAAAAAGGCCATAATCTACAAAAAGATATGCAGAATTTTCTAAAAATATTTCGGGTCTAAATCCAGATATGCTGATTTTTCTAACATTTTTAGGGTCTTAAACTCAGATATGCTGCATTTTCTAACACAATTTTATGATTTTAAACCCAGAAATGCTGCATTTTCTCACATTTTTAGGGTCTTAAAGTGGTTTACAGGTTAAATCTCAGCCTCTTTGACACAGATCAAACAGCTAAATGTTTTAAAACTGAATCTAACGGGCGATTCCTGGTGTTTTCCAGCCGTTGTTTTTCAGAGTTACTCGTTAAACTAATGGATCATTAACCCAAACGGGGAGTTTTAGGGCCCAGATTAAGGCCAGTGAGTCCAAACCCACAGGCTTTATCTGCCCTGTTTATATAGAGGAGGCTTTCAGCCAATCAGGAGCCAGAACGGAAAAGGAGGAAGTGGAAAACGGACCTTTGATAGCACGGACCAATCAGCTGCCAGTAGGCCGGCCGGGAGCCAATCAGATGCGAGGATTGCTCAGATTTGAAAGGCTGGACTCGGATTGGAGACAAAGTCTCACAAAATCAAACAGGTTTATTTGGAAATAAACTAAACTCAATATCAGGACAAATGTTCTGTTTTTTAAAGTTTTTTTAAGTTTTAAATCTTTGTGTTTGAATCAGATAGCGATCAGTTTATTAACAGTTTATGGAAGTTTGTCCTTTTTTGCTTTATTACAGTCATTTTAAAGCTTTTTTTTTTAATTGGATTTTTAAAACATGTAATTATTTTATTTTTATGTAATTATTAACTATCAGAATTTTAACAACAGATTTTATTTCCCCTGTTATGATAAAATCACATAAATAATTTACAAAGGAATTATGAAAAAATAATTAAAATAAAGAATTCAATAAAAATAAAGATTTTTTGTAATTAAATTTTTTAAAACATGTAAATATTTTATTTTTATGTAATTATTAATTATCATAATTTTAACGACAGATTTTATTTCCCCTGTCATGATAAAATCATGTAAATAATTTACAGAGGACTGATGGAAAAAATAATTCAAATAAAAAAATCAATTAAAAAAAAAAAAAGATTTGATTACATTTTAAAAACATGTAACGATTTTATTTTTATTAAATTATTAATTAGCATAATTTATTTATTTTTTTATTTCCCATGTTATGATAAAATCACATAAATAATTTACAAAGGAATGATGGAAAAAATCATTAAAATAAAAAATTAAATAAAAAGAAAACAGATTTAAATTAAATTTTTAAACCATGTAACTATTCTATCTGTCTGTAATTATTAATTATCAGTATCTGTTGGACGGATTGGCCTCTTCTCTCCACCGGTGGCGTCACCATGAGCTCAGAAACTCTGCGGTTGGAACAAATTCAGTCCAGACTCAACTGAGAAGGAGGAAAGCGGCCTGCGGTTGCTTTTTTTAGCCGTTTAGCTCCAGAAAACAGCAGCAAACCTCCCCCCGCTGAAACCCGATCCGCAGGAGTCAGGCTCTTTTTTTTTTTGTTTAAACTGAGGAAACTCAGCGAGAGAACAGAGACCCGGAGGTTTAGCTGCCAAAACGGAGCTGAGAACCAACAGAAAAGGGACTGAACTCCGACCATTTCCTGCAGAATTTGGTGCTTTCTACGTTATCCTTTTGATCTGAGGAGATCAAAGGGAGCGAATGAATATAAAGAAATGAATGAAAAGTCATTATTGTAAAATCAATCTGTTTGTTTTCACTTTCTTTAGAGATCGGGCTGTAAAGCAGAAGGTTCAGGAGTTAAATCCAGACTCTGAAACTCTCCCCAGCTCCTCCTGAACATACAGATTTACACACATGAAAAGATTAGCGTTTGTTTTGATGTCTGCTATTCCAAATCTTTGGAAAACAAATCTATTAATGGATATTACAAAGAAGTAAAACTGGATGCTCGTCGCCAGCCGTAAAAACTTTGGGCTCAAAATTTCTCCTCCAACAAAACAGAGAATTACGTTGCCATGTTAGCTTGTTTTTTGTTTGAAGAATAGCTTTGCTAGCCTATTTCGCTGCTAGCGTTAGCTAACAACTCGACACACAACAAACAAACGAATGTTACAGAATGAATCACAGACTGAAAATCTGAACTGTGCTAATGAATAGTGATATATTAGCATGAACTATGCTAATCAGTAGTGATATATTAGCATGAACTATGCTAATCAGTAGTGATATATTAACATGAACTATGATAGTCAGTTGTGTTATATTAGCATAAGTTGCGCTAATTAGTAGTGATATATTAGCAACCATGCTAGTCAGTAGTGACCTATTAACATTAACTATGCTAATTGGTAATATTCTGTATCTGTTTATCTTTATATCATTATATTTATATATTACATTTATATCATTATAGTTTATATATATGATATATTATAGTGTTTCAAAATGGCGGATCGCCATGGAAACCTCCCGGGTGTTGATTAATTCACTAAGTACTTACATGTTTAATATATGATTTTCTGTGTTATAGTTTGGTTATATTGAAAATAAATGCGTGTTTTCAGAAGAATCTAAACACTTTTTTCTCATTACTTCCATTTTAAGAACTTTTCTGACTTTTTAAACTTTATTTAAAGAAACAATTCTATGTCCTGTGTATATACAGATAGGGAATTCTTCACTTATGAGGAGAATTCAGATCATTGCAGAGGTCTTTTTACACCAAATGATGACACATTTAGAAATCATGATTTTAGCTCATAAAAAATTTAAAATACTACACAAGGTCCCTTTGAGAAAGAGGAACACAGAGACACCTCAGTCCTGGTGTGATTTATGAGTCATGAGACCAGTTCAGGGAGCACGAGGCCAGGAGCTTCTGGCAGATTCATGGATTCATTAGCAGGTCGAATCCTCAGCGTGAGTCAGATGGGGCTAAATAAACTGAGATTCCCAGCCTTTTACCGGGGAAACCGGCCATTTAAACCAGTGTTTTTCAACCTTTTTTGAGCCAAGGTAAATTTTTTCATTGAAAAAATCTCGAGGCACACCAACCAAAAACGTCAAACAAATCTGTAGCCGCCTATAGTAACACTATAGTTATTCTTATTTTATTCTTATGTTATCTTAAGTGTCTCGAATAGGAATCAAATAAACACAAACATTTATTTTGATCATATTTTATATTTCTTCTCTCAAATTGCTATTAACATGTCCACTTCAATATACAAAATTATATACAAAATCT